AAGTAATAAAATACCGATTTTTCTATATATTGAATTATTTTTTATCTCTCACAGGACCTTCTATGGGCCGAAACGAATGTTGCCCCCTAAAATTATTCCTCATAAGGCATACATCCCACTAGTTTATTTCAAAATTGGCGAGTCACACTTCCCTAGTTTCCCTTGTAAGTAGAAAAAAATAAAATTAGAAAAATACTATTAAAAGCACATTCAAGTGGAAAACTATTATCAATATTATTTTACCAGGGTTGCTACTTAAATCTGAAAAGAAAAAAATCCTTGTGTCTTCCCAGTACATATTATACACAATATATTAAGAGGAAACACACAATCACTGTGAGTATATTAATCTAGCTATACTAGTTTTAATTGCTAGAAAAACTTAAAGAAATAAAGAATAAATATCCCTTAAATTGCACTTTGAGTGGTCACCACTTTTAAAAGACGAATATAAGAAATAAAATTCTCTGTATTTTAACAGTTCGTAAGGAAAAACTAAAAATTCACCGCATTTTCCCTGTTTTTTAGGTGATTTTTTAATTCCCTGTATTTTCCAGATTTTTCCTATTTTCTCTGTGGAGTGGCAACCCTGTTTACTGTAAAGATATCGACAATATCTAAGAGTTATTTGCTAAATTTAATTGAAATAATAATACATTAATTTTTATTCACTGATCTAAATCATGCACTTTATGCAGTATACTTACGTTTTTATTGTTTGCAGTACACTTTTCATGTTTTCACAAAGGAGTGGTACTAATCCATTGCGAAAGGTTGCATTTGAAACTTCAATCATGAATATATACGCAGGTGGATTTGGTAACACATCATTCTGCAAATATAATTAGAATAATTACTTTAATATCTAAAAAAATCATATCTTAAAGGCAAGTTTAGAAATATAAAATATCGTTATCACGTTAAGAGACAATGTGTACTATAACTATTTTTGGGTATGCAGATTAAGCAGCAATCTGACCTAAATTTTTATGTCAACTGAAGATTATGGCTCTCATAATCTGTATGGCATCAGATATAATTTTATTATTTTTAAAACTTTATTTTTTTATAGTTTTACCATTTTTTTAAAAAGCATGTACATTGTTTATGACCATTAAAAATGTACTACATTTTTAAATCATTTTACATATACTTTAATTTCTTTTAAGGAATTCATGTATTTTAAATTTTAAAAAAATCTAATTTGATTGGCCAAAAAAACTTGTTTAAAAGAATTTCTAAACCATATCTTCTTCGGTTTACATGAAGCTTCAGCATAGGTGTGACTCTTCCCTAATTAAAGTAATAGATTCCTTACTTTATAATCAGTGGTTTCCAACTGGCGGCCCGGGGGCCAAATCCGGCCCGCAAAGCTTTTTGTTATGGCCCGCGTACTAAAATATATTACTTTGTCATTTTTTCGCGGACAATTTTCTTAAAAAATCTGAATGGGTATAAAATACTTTTTTCCTTAATAAAAACCTAATTTCTTCGCTTCTGTAAAAATTTAACATACCAACGTTGCAAAAAAATTTATTTCTCAGGTTTCGCATCCAAGAAAATATTTATTCAAATGCAAAAATAATCGTGTATGTTGCTCTTTTTTATTTCATTTTTTTGTATTTTGTGAATATAATTTAGCATGTGTGTATCAGAAATTTTCTCGAAGAAATTCTCCGATTTAACTTTTTGAAACCACTCATTTTGGACGAAAATATTTACACACACATTTGTAAATTTTAAATTTAAAATGTAAATATCTATTCTCTGGTGGTTGCAGCAGACAAACCTCAATTTTCTCATTGAACATTTTGTGTGCTACTATGTAAGTTTTAATATGCAAAGAAATATTTTTAAAAATCTACTTCTTATTTTAATTTGTAATTCAATACTTTTGTTCTGTACAACTTGGTAAATATCAGACAGTAATATTTAATGTTCATTCAAACATAAGAGTCCTACATAAAATTTTGATTAAGTTGCAGCCCCCCATTTGATTTGTGTTTCTAATTGTGGCCGTCGGCCTCATGTAAGTTGGAAACCCCTGCTTTATATAAATTATATTCAATTATATATGTTCTTTTTCTTTTAATTAGTAGAAATATGATGAAAAAATTATCAATGTATACTTAATCTTATCATCTTACAGAAAAGCTTTACAAAGGTACAATGCAAAGAAACTTTTATCAGTTATTTTCATCAGAATAAAATAAATAAAAGTTAAAATTGTTTGGCATCAATGAATGTGTTATCAATCATAATTTACAAAAAAAGAAAGAAAAATATTAATGTTTTTATGAATTAATTCAAATAAAATAGTAGTACTAATAAATATATATGCATAAACAAAAGATAAATTATATAATAAATTATAGTGATATGATAGTTCTTCAAACTGCAATGATAAAATAAAAAGTATTTGTTTATAAATTTTTAACATTTTTGTGCTCGTTTTTTAAGTTGTGAATATACAATTATTTAAATTGCAGTGACTGAACCAATAAACTTGAATGATTATTTTTGTACGAATTTTTTTTTATTTCTTTTAAAAATACTATAATATTTTACAATAATTATTAGAGTTAATTGATTAAAATATAAAACTGCTTTTACCCCACAAAACTCCTCTGTGAACAATGAACTCGTATGATTTTTTATAATAAAAAAAGCTTTTAAATAACAATATTTTTTAAATGAACAAATTATAATCCTTTGCACATATTTATTAGTCTTGATTGAAATACCATAAAAACTGAATAAAAAATAATTCAAATAAAGAAAAGCTTTTACCCGACAATAATCCTTTGTAGCAATGAACTCATATGATCCAAGGCAGAGCTCAGGACGATGATATTTATCTGTGCGTTCCCCCATTCCATCAAGAAAGCAAAAGTAGTCTTGGGGTACTGAAAACAGAATAGGATACAATAAGGATATTAATTGGTTATAACAAAGAAGAAGTCGTGCATGTCAAAGATTGTTGCATGCTTAATAGTTTTGTAACATTTACTTAGGTGCCATTTTAAAAAAATTTCAAGAATGAACTTATTTTTTGACCAATTTATACTGGCTAGCATTGTTTACTGGAACTTGCAGAAATTTATAGCTCACTGGCACAAATTTACCTTTTCTTGATAATAGCCTGTATATTAAATCAATCATTTGGTTATTTTTTCTGAAAAAAATAGCTATGTACATTTTTTAGTTTTATTAATTTCTTTTTTTAGCAAACAAAATAAAAATAACAGCCTATCCTTTCCCACATATCACTGAACCATTAACATTCTCTTGAAACCATTCATATCTCTGCTTATTTTTCACCTCATCATTATTTATTTTTTGTCCCAGTATAATTTTTTTTAAATAATCTTGATTTAACTTTGGCCAGCTGGTCAATGAGCTCTACAAATAAATCTTTAAATAAATTCAACAAAAATTGATCAAATGAACAAACATAAAAAGCACCAAAGAAAATAGCCCTCCAGCGTTGGTTTCTTTTTTTGACCTCATGCTAGCCCTTACTATTACCCACATCTACGTAAACGAAACCCTTCATTAGTATTTTTTTTTATTCTCTGAAGTTATCAATTAGAAAGCTAAACAAATCATAAGTGAAAAAATAGCTAATTGAAGTTAGTGATATGTATATTACTACTTCCTTATAAAGGGTTAATATCTTTAAAACATTTAACTTTAAGTTTTGCAAGATAATTAAGAAAATTTTAGAGCTAGGAAAGGTTTCTGTAAGTTTAACATCTTAATACATATTTGAATCTAGACAAACTAAGCATACTAAAAAACACAGGTTGTTGAAATAGTCTAAGCTTATTACCTTCAGTGACAACCTTACAGAAAGCACATTGAAAACATCGACCACCCTCCATGAAGGTCATAAAAGGACAAATATAAGCCTTACATCTTTTACACCTCAATGGTCCTTCCTCCCGATACAAACAATGGGGAGGCTCTTTCTAAAATTAAAGCATGAAAATGTATTAAGTTATAAACTTTAATTATCAATTAAGAAAGAAATATAGAAAATATTTGTAGAAGTAGTTACGAAAAAAAGAGATTTTATTGATATATTTCTCAAGATTGATAATGATACTCATCAGTAGCATTAAAACAGCAATTTTTTTTTTTTCAGTTTTAAAAATTCTAGTGCCTTATTCATCTTTAACAGACAGTGAAACACTAGACACTAAAAGTCTATATATATAATTTCTAAACTATATCTTCT